CTCTCTCATCTTTTTAAGTGGGAGAACTTGCACAGTTGGTGGCTGACTAAATACTTTTTTGCCCCGCTGTATTTGTTTTAGGGCAAAAATGGATACACCTAAAAGGTACCTTTCAGCCAGAAGATTTGAGTGGGAGTTCTCTTACAGCAGATGGATATCCCTTCCTCCATACATACAAACACTCCATTCCTTAAAATAAGGAAAGGCTTGAGATGTGCACATTGCTTGGAGGTATTCAGATAAAACAATCTACTGTCAAGATAAAAGTAATGTGGATTTCATCATACAAATAAAAATAGAGAGCAGTCAACTGTATTTATCCAGGTACTTAGAGACTCTATAGACTACTAAAACTCTCATGTCTATAACCTTCAAATGGGTGAAATGATGCATCATAGGGCAACAATTTTTGAAACAAGTTACCTCAAATGGACTAGCTTACAGAATGCATCCAAAATCTGGGGCCCATTATTCCTATGGGATTGAAATTTGGGGAATTTTTGGCCACTTCAGCAGTGCTGCGCTGCCATTCCACCGCAGTCAGCCCAGGTCACGTGATTGTCATGGGCATATTCCTGACCTCTTTCCCGCCTCCCTCTGTCCCCTGTACCCAATCGGCTGGTGGAAAGGCATGATGGGTGAGCAACAATTGGCTGCTTTGAAATGAGGCAGAAAACTGAAATCTCTTAATGGCTGTGAGTGTTGAGGGAAGGATGAGGGTGTGACTTGGATGCCTGCTGGTGAGGTAGGGCTGGCTGGGGAGTACTGGCAGTTGACAGGTGAGCCCTATTCCTCCCTCAAGGGAGGGGGCCCTTGGGGACACATCAGAATGGGGAACGGGGTACAGTTTTCCTCATGGTACATGGCTCCCTTTGTTCTACTTCCCCCCAGCAAAGCACCAGGCAGTTCCGCAGGTCAACTGAGGAGGAGGAGGCTGCTTCACCAGGGCTCTCCTGAGGGTTGTGAGGGGAGGGCAAATGGTGCAAGACAATATTATAGGAAGGAAGGAAGGAAGGAAGGAAGGAAGGAAGGAAGGAAGGAAGGAAGGAAGGAAGGAAGTAAGGAAGGGAGGATTTCTGATGCTCCCTGCCGGCTTTCCACATGACACTCCCACTGCTTTTTTGCCCTTGGTCATTCTGTTTCCCTGTTTAGGTAAGGAAATATCTCTGTCTAGTTATCATTAGAGTTGTCTTATTTCCTTGATGTCATTCTTCTTGTAATCAGAACACGGTTGCTCTGAGGAACTGATCACCTCTGCCATTTGATTTTCTAAACCAGGAAAGGTCACGCCAATCCATTTCTACCCTGTCTTCTATGAGGGTTATGGATCTGGTCTTGAAATACCAAACAAACCGTGCTGAATTAATCTGCCTTTAATCCTTCAATGTGTACCTGTTTGAATCTACTGCCTAACTGCATATAGTACTGGTGGTGCTATCCTTGTGGTTCAGGATTAATCTCCAGCTACTCTTTTTCTGTCCACTTTCTGCTTTGTTTAGGGTTGGGGTAGATTTCTGTTCCATTATTAATATTTGTTTGTTGATTGAATGATCTAATTTGTCTCTAACCATGATCTAGAAGGAGTGTAGAACTATGCAGGATAAAGAGGCAGATACATTATTGAAACCAAAACCAAAACCAGATTTGTGCATTTGCGAATCTTGCCTTTCTCACCCTGGTATTGCCTGATGTTTTGAACTATGATTCCCACTGTCCATACCCAAAAGGCAATTGCTGTGCTGGCTGGGGATGATAAGACCAGTTGTCCACAGATGAAGGAACCCGGCTTGGGAAAGGCTGTCATTATTTACAGAAATGGCTCTTTGGAGCTGTTTTCAAAGAAGATGATTCAGGAAGGACAAGCGGTGCTGACTTCCTGACTTCATGCCATCTTCCCCAAGGTTGCTCAATGGCCTATCCTATTTGGCATTAAAAAAAAAAGTGTGAAATTTCAGCTCAGCTGGATCCCTTCACACTGGAGCGTGGGGAGGGAGTAATGCAGGACCAAATGTGTGTTTACATTAAAAAAAAGTCTGCCAGCACATTAAAAAAAAAAAAACTACAGCACTAGTTTTATCACCCTTTCTACTGATAGTAGAAACTTGGTCATAGTAAGTAGGAGCCTGTTGGGCATGAGCTGAAGTAGATGGTGAGGGTAAGGTATGGACTCAAACAACACCCCAATGGCATTCTTGCTTATCCCGTTTTATATATACAGCTTATATATAAAATTATATATAATTATGCATTTTTCAAATAAGGTTTCCAGACACAGCATTAATGTTCTGTTTATAAATTTATAAAACTCAGGGATTGCTTACTACAGTACACCAAACACTTATAGCAAAGGACAGTTACATAACAGGTTGACAATCTGGTCTGTACCTTCCACTATCCCAACCAGGACCTTTTTCTAGGGCATTTTCTAGGCAAGACTATCTTAAGCTACCAAGGCATAGATGAGAAATCATTGTTTTTCTTTTTTAGGTAGAAGAAAACAGAAGCTCACTTAATCCACAAGAAAGC